TATATATATATATATATATATATATATATATATATTAACAATATGATTAGAACTTGAATATATAGTACCTTAATATTATTTTATTACATTTACGTGATCTATGGTAGTTGATGGGTTAAAACTTGTGATAGGATTTCTGTTGCAGCTCAGATCAAGAACTGCAGCTCAGACTGAATCACTCTTTTTAATATTTTAAGATCATAACTATTCTCAAAGCTCTCTAAAGTAGATACATTACTCACAGTAACCATGGTACCATGTCCAAAGATCCTGAGTAATATGTTTATTTAATCTGTATCCTTTGAAGTACCCTGGAGAACCATGTAAATAGCGCATGATAAATAGCGTCTGACAGCATCCCTGCGCTCTCACCTGCAGACGGAGGCCTGTCTGAGAATGTGCTGGGGGTGGCAGGCGCTCTCAGGCCGATCTGGTGATGAAGGTAGCCACGCGGCGGGAGGTGATAGTGATGATGATGGTGATGAAGATGATCGAGGGAATGGATGGGGTGAGCGCTAATCACAGCTGAGACACACACACACACACACACACACACAGTGAGATAACCACGACAACACAGCACAACACATCTGTTCCAAAACTTAGTGAGCTACTTTGCTGTATTCTGCCTGCATAGACAGCATCCCTACTTAGGCAGCATTCTAGATGATACGCAACGTCTTAAGTATGTGATTTGGAATGCTACATTGGCAGCAACTGTGTGCATCACATAAATAAATAGTTTTGATTTGACTACATTCAAATTATAGTTCTGAAAACAAAACAATAAATCCAAAATAAAATAACAGTTGGTAATGAACAACTATAATGAATAAAAAAAAAAAGGTTAAATGATTGATTTAAGCTTTCAGTGTTTTCAATAGTGTATAAATAATATTACAAAAGTATTTCAATTTTTTTTATATTTTTATATGAAATTATTAAATGCTATATAATTTAATACATTTTATATAATATATTTTTTATATTTATACATTTTATTTGCAAAATTTATTTAGGTAAATATTTTATTTTGTTACCGTTTTAACGATAATTATATACATGTACATATAAATAAGTACATACAATATAAATAAAATAAAAAACGTTCTCAGTATGTTGCTCTATGATACTGTATGAACCATAATAAATAGAAAGCAGATGCAAATATTTAGTCAAATTAGACTGAACTGTTAGATTGAATGCATTAGACTTAGAATAATTTTTCTAAAATCGTCCACCGTTTTAAACGGATCTGAATATATTATGAGGCTGCTTTGACTAGGAAGGATATATGCAATATGCATATATATGCTGTCTTACCGTGCCCCAACTATGGGTTATGAAAGGTTCATATTTTGGTTTTGGGAGTCCCCAACAACAGGTTGACATGCATGCAAGGTTAAAAAACACTTTTATTGTCTTATAATGTGCATTTATTTTTACCTTATTTGCTCAACAACGACTCCCAAACGATTCGCTTAACGATTAATTTTTCCAAACCCCTCCTTTGCGTGACGCTAATCTGCGGTGATTGGTTCGATTGGATCATGCCTGTAACGCCTGATAAAGCAGCGTTTGTGAGCGCAGTGCTGCTTTGTGTACAGCGTTACCGGGGAAACCACTATTATTACCGCTCCAAAAGCTGCACCTAGTGGCAAAGAATGAATTTGCATTTTCATTCCGACAAAGTTTAAGTGGGCGGGTAATATGCTAATGTTTCATGTTGACGTCAACATGAAACGGCTTGGGATTCGTTTTGAAAACGACTCGTTTCATTGATTCAGAGTCGACTCTTTTTTTGAGAGACAATAACTTTATACACGGTGCACTTTCAGATTTAAAACTTTGCAGGGTGTTTTCATTCACTTAGAGCTGTGTTACACACTGCACGAAAGGTAATTTTCAAAAATCCATAATAGGGGCACTTTAAAAAAACAACATGACACTGCTGCCTATTTTTTAATCACAGCTCTGGCATTAAGATGGAAGCTCACTAGGTTTGGATTTAGTTTGCTGCTATGACACAAGACGAGCACTGCGCTTCACTCAGCACAATGTGAAAAGCACAGGACAGGCTGAGATGGCATGGGACAATCAATGACGTGCTCTTTTTGCTTGCTTTTTCGTTGTGAACTTACGCTGGGAAGGCTGAGAGTCAAACGGCATCATAATTTTCGGTCTCACTCCCCTCCGACCGGCCAAAGTGGACACGCTCTCCTCCCCCTCATGACCTGCACACATGCAGAAAGGCGTTTATGAAACAGACTCGGTCCGGGATGCTGGGTTAGGTTTAGGCACTCTGCTCTCACCCCGTCTCTGATGGCTGGGCTCAGCGGCCGGGTCCTGGGTGGTCCGCGGGATGGGCGTCTCTGTCATGACCGGGTTGGGTTCGGGTGATTTGTCCATGGGCTTGAGCTCCACACGCTCATGATGGATCCACAGATCAGGAGGTTTCAGGTCTTTAGATGAGCTCTTGTACTTGTGGGAGCCGGTGCTGGACTTACAGGCCGCACGTTTCCTAAAATATAGAATGTTTAATTAATTTATCTTTTTTTTTATTACTTGCATATTAATAAATGCTTTATTTTTTATTATATTTTACAAATATCACATACTTTGCATTATAATCAATATATTAGAATTACATAAAATTATACATATTTTATCATTTTAAAATCATGAAACGAATATCAAATCTATCTGAAACAAGAATACGAGTGTGTCAGTAGTGTGAAGTTTGGTTAGGTAGTTTGATAGTGTTGGCACTCTGACAGTAGATACATTATAAATGTTACTCAATACTATATATAGTATATATATATTCTATATATATATACTCAATATATATATTACTATAATTTAAATTTATGATAATTTAAAATAATTTTATAGAGATAGGCATGAAAATAGGTATTGCTTTGTTTCAATTAAGTATGATTGATTGAATTAATTTAGATTTTACCTAATTAAAATTATAAATATAAAATACTAAAAATATAAAAATAGACATTTAACTATATAGTTATATAAATATTTACATAATATTGAAGTCCCGCATTTTACTATATTTTAATAATTAGTATTTTAATATGTTGTTATATTTAAACAGTCTGTATTTTATATATACATTAAAATATTAAAATACAAAGTTTCTGTATTTTTTTAGGGGGGGGGGGGTCTGTGACAATGACAATAATCAATCATTTTGAGAAATTAACTGCAGTTATGCAGCATTAAGTGAGATTACAAAGTCTAAGTATTTTTCTAGAGTTTTAGATATCTGTTCATTCATGTTGTAGTTTAGCTGCAGTGATTGTACCACAGTTTTAGGCACGCTGTGTCATGTCAGGCTGCTTATTGTTTTAATACACATGTGTATGTGAGCTTAAAAGAAGACTGAAGAGTGAAGAACACACTTTTTCTGGTGGGAGTTGGAGCGGCGCGTGCACAGGACGGCCCCCACGACCACAGCGATGATGGTGAACACACCAACAGAGACAATCACCACGATCACCAGAATATGATTCTCCTGGCTGCCCGTGATGCCTGGTTTATCTGACACAGACAGAGAGACAGCGTTACATCACCACAGCTCTTAATGAGTCACGTGTCTGTCTTTAAAGAGTGTGTCTTCCTGTTTACCCATGTTTGATCCAATCCCGTGCTCCGGTAGAGTCGGGTGACCGGGTTTGACTTGCAGCCCTTCAGACAAGACATCAAAGAACTTCATTTAACTGAATATATTATATTTTATGCTTTATATGTATTTTATGTAATATATTAATAGATTCTATATTTGTAACTTATTAAAATAAATATATAATAAATTGTAATTTAACATATTTAGCTAAATGATGTATGTTGTTGTAAATAAATTGTATGAATATTTAAAAATTATTATAAAATACATATAATTATTTGTGACCCTGGACCCAGTCATAAGGGTCAATTTTTCAAAATTGAGATTTATATATCATCTGAAAGCTGAATAAATAATCTTTCCATTGATGTATGGTTTATTAGGATCGGACAATATTTGGCTGAGATGCAACTATTTGAAAATCTGGAATCTGAGGGTGCAAAAAAATCTAAATATTGAGAAAATCATCTTTAAAGTTGTCCAAATGAAGTTCTTAGCAATGCATATTACTAATCAAAAATTAAGTTTTGATATATTTACGGTAGGAAATTTACAAAATATCTTCATGGAACATGATCTTTACTTAATATCCTAATGATTTTTGGCATAAAAGAAAAATTTATAATTTTGACCCATACAATGTATTGTTGGCTATTGCTACAAATATACCTGTGCTACTTATGACTGCTTTGTGCTCCAGGGTCATATATGTATACACACTTTTTATTTAATGATAAACAAATGTATAAATACATAAAACTCAATGTTAACTAAATGCATAGAATGCATAAATAATTTTTATATTTATTTATACTTCAAGTATATATTTAATTTGAAATTCAAATAAATTAAATTAAATTAAAATTGTATCTTTAATCTGGCCGTCCCAAACGTCTTCCATTTAAGGATTATGGAGGCCACTGTGCTCTTAGGAACCTTAAGTGCAGCAGAATTTTTTTTGTAACCTTGTTCAGATCTGTGCCTTGCCACAATTCTGTCTCTGAGCTCTTCAGGCAGTTCCTTTGACCTCATGATTCTCATTTGCTCTGACATGCACTGTGAGCTGTAAGGTCTTATATAGACAGGTGTGTGGCTTTCCTAATCAAGTCCAATCAGTATAATCAAACACAGCTGGACTCAAATGAAGGTGTAGAACCATCTCAAGGATGATCAGAAGAAATGGACAGCACCTGAGTTAAATATATGAGTGTCACAGCAAAGGGTCTGAATACTTAGGACCATGTGATATTTCAGTTTTTCTTTTTTAATAAATCTGCAAAAATGTCAACAATTCTGTGTTTTTCTGTCAATATGGGGTGCTGTGTGTACATTAATGAGGAAAAAAATTAACTTAAATGATTTTAGCAAATGGCTGCAATATAACAAAGAGTGAAAAATTTAAAAATTTAATAAAAAATAAATACATTTAATATAACTGTTTTGACCATTAAACTTCTAAACATCTAATATAATATTTTACACATCTTATATGATATTATTTAATTATGTATTAATAATATGTATAACAATATTATAAATCATATGTATTCAATCATATTGGCATAATTAGTCAAAATTATTAATGCATTTAAAACAATGTCGTGTGTCTTTAATTTCCTTCTCCATTAGAAACGTGTTTAATTACCTTGATCACTTGACATTTTGTCCGATGGCTCAGCTGGAAACAAAGACAAACAGAATGAATAAATGAGCATCAGTTAAGTTTTAATAGGTGAGTCTAAACAAGGCTGGGGTTTACCTTTCGGGGTGCGGAACTGCGCCGCATCTGACATGGGTCCCATGCCTTTGGAGTTTCTCGCCTGGATCTTGAAGTAGTATGTGGTGTCCAGCGTCAGCCCCTGAATCTGATGGGTCAGTCTGTTTCCCACCACGGGCTCCACCACCCAATCATGGACCTCGGCGTTCACATCGGTGCTGTAGTAGATGATGTACCCTGAGAGACAGAGATTTATTCCACGTCTGAAAATCAGCCTTTTCTGTTTGGATGCACGACTGGTTCTGTAAATCCTGTCATCGGCATCCATAATGTAAATCAGGCATGTCATGTCAGTCTAAAATTTGTTTCATGTCATGCAAATAATGTCACAATGCAAAATGATCTTCTAGTTGATTATCTTCAATTCATATTTTGTGGTGTAATATGACCGGGACATGGTTTTGGGGTACCTGTGATTTTGCCGTTGGCTTCAGTCGGAGGCTGCCAGTTGATGTTGATGATTCGAGGATTTCCCTCTTTACTGATCACAGTCACATCTTTCGGAGCAGAGCTGGGTACTACAAATCACATTAAAGGCAGAGAATACAAGCAAATACTGTAAAAGGGCTATTACTAAAAGCTTTGCTATAGCAATCTGTCCCTAAAATGCAAATAAGATGCTTTTCTTTTATATATATACACACACAGTGGGTACAGAAAGTATTCAGATCCCCTTAAATTTTTCACTCTTTGTTATATTGCAGCCATTTGCTAAAATCATTTAAGTTAATTTTTTTTCCTCATTAATGTACACACAGCACCCCATATTGACAGAAAAACACAGAATTGTTGACATTTTTGCAGATTTATTAAAAAAGAAAAACTGAAATATCACATGGTCCTAAGTATTCAGACCCTTTGCTCAGTATTTAGTAGAAGCACCCTTTTGATCTAATACAGCCATGAGTCTTTTTGGGAAAGATGCAACAAGTTTTTCAGGGGATCCTCTGCCATTCCTCCTTGCAGATCCTCTCCAGTTCTGTCAGGTTGGATGGTAAACATTGGTGGACAGCCATTTTTAGGTCTCTCCAGAGATGCTCAATTGGGTTTAAGTCAGGGCTCTGGCTGGGCCATTCAAGAACAGTCACAGAGTTGTCGTGAAGCCACTCCTTCGTTATTTTAGCTGTGTGCTTAGGGTCATTGTCTTGTTGGAAGGTAAACCTTCAGCCCAGTCTGAGGTCCTGAGCACTCTGGAGAAGGTTTTCGTCCAGGATATCCCTGTACTTGGCCGCATTCATCATT